ACAAATAGTGGATTTATAGATGAAGATGTAAGAACTTTTAACTACATTTTTCAGACGAGGGATTCGTTGATTATTCCGCGTAAGTCGAATTCATGGATTCTGCCACTTGGGTTGGAGCTCAACTTTGAGCATCTATCCACTTTGTAGATCTAATTGTGACTTAACAGATTTGTTAGCAAGTGATTGTCCAGTCTTCACGTTCGTCACGTTTCGACTGCGGGGGCGTGTTAGAGAATATTATATTATAGAACTCTTGTAATACTAGAATTCTAATATTACAAGAGTTCTATAATATAATATTCTCTAACAAGATTTATTGAGTCACTTGAATCAGTTGATTGAGTTTAAACCTAAAAATACTCAATGTCGAATTTATCGCAAATGCATTGCATGAGTGGTATTATGGTGGGAATAGTAACACAAAAAATTATGAAAATATCTCCTACATTTTTTACAGCCTAAGTTAATTTTTTTAACAATGCTCAATGGAATTATTAAGGACAACGGGTATGTTATATTTTCTTCGTTAGTATAGCATGTTAAACGCGACAATGACTAAAATAATTGCACATCAATATCAAAACCAATTAATGTATAAAATGCATTGCACTAGTAATTAATATTGAAGAAAAAAAAATATATTATATTTCTCATTTTACAAAAAGTACATTAAACTTTTCATTTTATAGAATAATTATTTTTAATCTAAAACAAGAACTTTTGACTTGATAGGGGTAATTTAGTATTTTCCAGTTTTCTATTCAAGGGGTTATGATGTGCAAAATTTTAAAACAATAAGGGGGTTATGTGCCTAATTTCATACCATAAGGGGGTCATGTGCAAAATGTCAAAACCAACAAGGGGGTTATGTGCCTAAATTCATATCATTAAGGAGGTCATGTACAAAATATCCAACAATAAGGGGGTTAAGTGCTATTTACCAAAAAAAAAAAGACACCATATGTTATGTAGTTTATGTTATAACGACAACAATTATACAAATCTGAAACGAATTTGGTCGAACCAAAACCAGTCGAATCACCTTCAAACAACTTAGAGAACACTCGACGGTGTTAATACTTAAATAGAGATTTATCGACGTTCGAATCAATGTGTAGCTCTCATCGACTCAATTAATTCCAACCCTACTTTCTCTTTATAATGTATAGTACATAACTACATATGTATGGCCGGCTCAAGACTTTTAGAGGCTTAAGCAAAAAATTAAATTGAGGATTTTCTATAGATCTTTTTTTAATAGTGTTTCATTTACATACAACTTTTTTTTTTTTGGGCATTTTTAGTGTGAAGGTATTCTAATTTATTTTTATTGATAATATAACAAGGTGAATTTAAAAAAAAAAAAACAAATCGGTGTTATGTTGAATTTGTTAAAAAACTCACCGTGCATTTCCTGACATGCAACTTTTTAAAACGTGAGTTTAGAGGCTTATTGCTAAAATATTTGAATGATGGCAAGATTTTTAGGGTGAACAACATAAAACCCCTCTGTATTATGTCAAACTCGCACTAAATCTTTCTGTGTTCTTTTTATTGTGTAAAAGCTCCATGTATTTCATTTTTTTTTTTGCATGAAGTTCCTATTTTCGTTTATAACTATAAAAGCTCCATGTATTTCATTTTTTTTTTGCATGAAGTTCCTATTTTCGTTTATAGTTAACACTGTTAACTACAGAGGGGATTTTATGCAAGTTTTCTGTACATAGGGCATTTGGTGCATGGTTTTGCTATACAATGGGGGTTTATGCAAAATTAATTTATTCATCAAATTATTTTCTTAAATTAAGTCGAACACATTTATTAATCTACAATATGAAAACTAAAAAAACAATTCGAGACGGAAGTTGGAATGAGTTCTCAAATTATTTATGTTATTTCCACATATAATTCAATACAGAATAAATTATAAAGATATATAATAATTCTAATAAAATAATAATATATTTTTAAAAAATCAAAAAAAAAAATTATGCATTATTAAATTGTATCATATAAAAATTGATTTAAAAAAAAATCACCACACTTATTGAATTTTTATTTTTCATATTGCAATTGAATAAGTGTGTTCGACTTAATTTAAACGAATAAATTAATTTTGCATAAAATCTCCTTGTATTGTAGAAAATATGCACTAAATCCCCCTATGTCAAGAAAAATTCGCATAAAGTCCCCTCTATAGTTAGCGGCGTTGACTTTTAGCGGGAAAATGAATTTTGTGCAAAGTGAAATGAAACACACGGGGCTTTATGCAAGAAATAAAACACAGTGGGATTTAACGCAAATTTTCCTTAACACATGGGGCGATTTTATGTTATATACCCCGATTTTTACTAATAAAAATACGGAGAACTTTTCCACAATTAAAATAAATATAAGAGCCTCCAATGCAATATAAACCCAAAAAAATGCTGAAAATATATCAGAACTCAACAATAGAGTTAAAACTAAATTTAGTTTCAAGAAGAATACAACATTATATTTTCCAAAACCATCTTCTTATCTCTTAGGAAAATATATCAAATATCAACCTTTAATCTACACATACTAATGTGTACGTGTGTTTAGTGTGACGGTTCAAGATCACCCGGTGTATTACACCAAGTGTAGCATCTCATAGACGGGAAAGAGTGTTTGCATCAAACATAAAAGTGGTCTTCAAGATTTAAACAACATCTAATGTAGAAGAAGAAAACTGACTATAACGCCCTAGCTATATATATAAACTAGTCAAAGTACTATTAAAACTAATAAAGTCAGTCAAAAATCATGCAATAAATTTCATGCATAACTCATTTTAATAGAAATAATTCTATTTACACGTCCTTTTTACAACACTATATATATATATGGGAGCTAGAAATGTATTTCAAATCACCATCCAACTTTCAAATCCTTCTCTTCATTCTTCTTTCCTTTCTTCCTAAATTAATTTCTTTAGGGCTCCAAATCTTTGAGTTCTTGTTATTGCAATGGCGGTTTCTTCATCTATTATGAGTTTGTTGTTTGTGATTTTGATGGAGTTTTTATGCTTAGTTCATGCACTAAAATTTTATGTCGGTGGGGATGACGGTTGGACCCTTAAACCATCGGGGAACTATATTTATTGGGCTGAACGAAATCGCTTTCAGATCAACGATGAAATAGGTACATTTCTTATTTTCCTTCATTTCTCAATGTGCATGTTAACTAACATATTTTAATTGGTATAAATTAAAACTCAAGGGTTTTGGAGCAATATATTTTTACAAGAATAATTAATTATATATCGTTTTCTCATTTTATTATTTACAATTAATCCACATTTTGTTGTTAATAAATTGCAGTATTCAAGTACAAGAAAGGGCATGATTCGGTACTTGTTGTAAATGAAAATGACTATTCAAAATGCAACAAAGAAAATCCCATCAAAATAATGAAAGATGGTGACTCTAAATTTAAGTTTGAGAAATCAGGTCCATTTTTCTTCATTAGTGGCCATAACCAAAATTGTGAGAAGGGGGAGAAGTTGATCGTTGTTGTTCTTTCCGATCGCCACCGCAACACCACCCATAATGCTCCATCCCCGCCGCCGGAGACACCCCACAAACCACCGTCCACCTCCCCTTCTCCATCACCTTCTCCGTCTATGAACAAACCTCCAACCCCAGCTCCAGTTGCTCATCACTCGCCAAATCCTTCACCGGCAGCTAAATCTCCCGCCCACGCGCCGCCAGTCAAGCCACCCTCTCATTCACCATCTCCATCTCCGGCGGCCACAGCACCCATTAGTCACCATCCGCCAAGCCCTTCACCGGCAGCTAAATCTCCCACCCACGCGCCGCCAGTCAAGCAGCCACCCTCTCATTCTCCATCTCCATCTCCGGCGGCCCCAGCACACAATTCTCACCACTCGCCAAGCCCTTCCCCAGCAGCTAAATCGCCCACCCACCACGCGCCGCCGGTCAAGCCACCATCTCATTCTCCATCTCCATCTCCGGCGGCTCGAGCTCCAATTACTCACCACTCACCAACTCCGTCTCCAACAGCTAAATCTCCCACCCACGCGCCGCCGGTCAAGCCACCCTCTCATTCTCCATCCCCATCTCCGGCGGCTCCAGCTCCAATCACTCACCACTCACCAATCCCTTCCCCAGCATCTAAATCGCCCACGCACGCGCCGCCGGTCAAGCCACCTTCTCATTCGCCATCCCCAGCTCCAATTACTCACCACTCACCGAACCCTTCCCCAGCAGCCAAAACCCCTTTACACGCGCCGCCGGCCCAACCACATTCTAACTCTCCAGCCCCTTCGCCGGCGGCCAAATCTACTACACACGTTCCACCATCTCGTTCGCCATCACCATCTACTAAAGCTGAATCGCCAAAGAAACACGGACGACGCACCGCAGCCGGAGTTGCAGCATAACCACTCTGCTCCGACTCCGAGTTCAGCTGGCTTCGTTTAAGTTCATTTCTAGCTCAATTTTTTCTTTCTTTTTGTTTTTTTGTGTTGGATTTATTTTAAACTTTGATTAGAAGTTTGTTTATTTCTTTTGTAACACTTGCTTTAATTTAAGTAATTAAAATTCCCTCTACTCTATTGCAATTTTTTTTTTGAAAAGATATCAAAATTATTTCCATTAAAACAACATACAAGTATTTTGAATATCTATTTTATAAGTTTTCATATTGAGTTTCACCTTTGATAACGTGCTAATTTTACAATTTGTTTTTTATTAACACTGGAGGAGTGATCATTGTTATCACAGCTACATGGTGTGACATTTTATTCAATTAATTGTGCATGAAAATTCAGAAGGAAAAACAAAACAATTGGTTTTCCTAATGTAAATAATGGACGTTGAAATTGCTCAAACACTCCTAGTATTTTAGATTCATATTTATTAATATAGAATTTCTTTTATATTTTTCATTTGATAATGCAAGTGTCAATATGACTTTTATCCCTGCCCTTATAGATAGATGCATGAAAGCTAGCATGTAGCAGTAATTTTATTCCTATTTGGATGCATATGTCCAGTGGCCGCGAAACTAGGAAATAATACAATGGAGGGAGATAATTTTTTTAGGGATTCGGTGGCATCGCTTCCTGATTTTTTTTATAGAATAATTCATAAAAAGAAGCAAAAAATAAGTAATATTTTATGTAAAATGGTATGATTTTAACAAAAATATTTATATTATAATGATAAATATGAAAATGTGTATAAATGCAGATTATAAATTTACATGAAATAATAGAGAAAAAAAAATGAAGGGTCACAACTCATTTTATAAAAATATGGGAGGCCAAAACCTATATTTTTAAAATATTACTCAAAATTAATATATATTTTTTTTTTAAAATTTTGGAGGGTCCACAACACTCCCTCCCCCTCTCCCCCTCTTATGTTCCGCCATCGCATATGTCGCATTTTGAATTTATGTGTAATATAGTTTACGAATGTTAATGACATATATTTCTAAAATTAGATCATGTATTATTATATATGGCGGTAAGGGTGGGCATGGGTCGGTTTTATCGGCCAACTGATTCACTTTCGACTTGCTTCTTTCAGTCGATAATTTTGTTGTCGGGTCGGTAATTTTAACCCACCCATATATAAATGGGTCGATCAGTGGATTTCAGGTTACTCAAAAATCGGTTGGCTGATATTAACGGCCTACCGACTTTTAACAAAAAAATTATTATAAATATTTATATATAAATTTTTATTTTTCTTCATGTTAAAATAATATATAAAAGACATTAAAACTCAAAAATCAAAACACAAATTTATAAACCTCTTTGTACAATTTCTAATTTATAATTCTTATTTCATCTTCTTCATTATATATTTATTTATTTTAGAAGTTAAATAAAACAAACTCTTAATTTTAAAGTTAGGTTTTTTACAACATATGTTTTACCAAAGTTTTGAATATCTTTCGGAAAAACTTTTAACAACATCATATTATTGTACGAAAAATAATAATTATAATAAAACAATAAATAAATGGCCGATAATACCAACCAAACACCCATTGTTTATCTGGCAAAGTCGGTTGCCAACCATTATCCGATCCATATTGGTCGGGTCAATAATCATTTTCAAGTTTCAGCAAAATCGGGTGGTCGGGTTGGGTAGGTAATAGGTCGATAATTACCCGACTCGATCCATGTCAACCCTATATGACGGTACAAAGTGGTTACCCAACTATGGTTTTATTTTTAGGGGTTTCGTGCATAAGTTCCTGACCAACTATTTTTATTATTCTAGGTTCAGGGATTATATCTCTTTCGTCAATAAGCTCATCCCTTTAATATGTATTATAAATAAAGAAAAAAAATACTGTACATGACAAAATTAGCGCCAACCCTTTAAACCCAATTCCTAATTGTAACCCCAATTTAACTTCAATTTAATCAATTTTGACTCTTTTTTTATATTTTTTTTCTGTATGCTTTTTCTATCACCGATTTCCGGCATTGACTTTTTTTAATTTTTTTTCTTTTCTTTTTTTTTTTCTAAAATTTTTAGCCATTTTTTTTACGATCGCTGCTGAACGTTGACTGTTATTGTATTGTCATTCATAGTAATTATACCGTCGTTGGCAGTACATTTACGTAATTGTGCTGTCTTTGACAGTACGATTACTGTCAACCACAACAATATTATTATTTTTTGGCATTTTTTTTTTATTTTGTTTGATTTGTTGATAAGTCAACGTAATTATATTACTGTCGTTGACGGTAAAATTAATGTAAACACAATAATATTACTGTCAACCACATCAATATTATTAGTTTTTTGGCTTTTTTGTTTTGTTTGGTTTGTTAACCAGTTAACGTAATAATATTGCTGTCTACTATTGTAATATTACTGTAAATACAATAGTATTACTGTGGTTGCGTTAATATTATTGTTGTTATAGTAATATTATTATGAATGAGAGTAATATTATTGTCAACCCCATCAATATTACTTCTTTTGGTTTTTTTTATTATTTTTGTCTTTATTGAACGGTCAACATATTAATATTACTTTATTATACAATAATAGTGATTTTTGTTGTGTTAATATTACTGTGATAGAGAGTATAGTTAATATTACTGTCTTAAACAATAATATAGTTAATATGACTGCCAACCACGACAATATTGATGTTTAAACGGGGCAAATAGATGTTAATGTAAAAAATAATAAATAAATAAAAAAATGAAAATTGTAAAAGTCAACTCCGGAAACTAGCAGAAAAATCAGGAGAAACGAAGAAAAAAATATTGAAAAAGTCAACGTTGAAAACCGGCGGAAAAATCAGGAGAAAAGAAAAAAAAAAGTGAAACGAAAATACTTAAAACTGATTTTTGTGTCAAAATTGCAACGCAAAGATGAAAATTTTAACAACACTCAACATCAGCTTCGACGATGGAATTATTAACAACTGGGGGTGTTTTATATTTTTTCGTTAGAATGAGATGGTAACACGACAATGTATATCGCAATTAGCACAAGAGAGCAAAGTGTACTTAGTCCAAATATTTTTCATTAAAGACTAAAATACCCTCTAGTATCAAAACATGGATATATAATTGCACATCAATGACAAAACCAATGTACAAATTCGAAAAGAATTCAGTTTATGTAGCTATAACGATAATATAACAATTAGACAATTAAGTAGCATCAACAAAAATCCCCATATGATGCATTTTCTAGCATATAAGTTTTTAAACCGCGAGTATTTAGGCGGTAGATTGCTAAAATAATTTAATGATGGCGGGATTTCTACTAATAAAAATATGGAGAACTTTTTAACAATTAAAATAACGCATAATCTCACTTTGCACCTTTGAAATATAATATTTTGGCATTTTTACCATTGAAAAAAATTAATCGCACTTTACACTCTCGAAGCACAATAGTTCATTCATAATGCACACACTAATTGAATTTTTAAAACCTTACTGAAGACAATTCTTTTTTTTTTTATTGGTTTTTTTTCAGGGAGCAAAATTAAAAAAATGTCATGTCTTTTACCTTTTAATCTAATTTCAAGTGTACAGAGCGCGGGAAATAAGATCACATTGAATTACTTGAAAAATATATTTTCTCAAAGGAGTTTAAATCCGTTGAAAAATTAGACTGAGTTAATGCAAAAAATATTTGCACTACAAGAAAAATATTAATTAGTGACAATAAAATATGTGACAATGTGTATTTCATCACTAAACAACTATATTAAGTGACATAATATTTATTTTATCACTAATGATAATTTCTCTTTAGTGATAACATGTTTCTTATCACTAATGGTACATTTTTTTAGTGACAATATTCAAGTTGTCACTTTTGTTCATTAAGTGACAACATGAATGTTGTCACTTTAACTATAAAATCTAAAGTGACAATATTTTGTAAGTTATCACAAATGAGCATTAGCGACACAGAATTAGTGACAACGTAGTGACAACATTATATTGACACTAAATTTCATTTGTGACAATTTTATGATCTAATGTGACAACTTGCGTTGTCACTAAAACTCGTTTTTCTTGTAGTGTTGGTAGAAAACTTTGTTCGAAAATATGATTAACAACATAGCGTAAGGATCTTTTTTTTGAACAATATTCTTTTATATATAAAAAAAATACATTTTAAATATGTTAATGAGATGTATTTTTATTTGGGTAATTGGCACTTTGCACCCTTGAATTACATAGGTTTGGCACTTTGCACTCTTAAATTGCAAATTTGGCACTTTGCACCCTTCAATTACAAATTTCTTGGCACTTTGCACCCTCCTCCACTTTTATGCCAGAAATATAACGGGCAACTGGTTCAATGAGTTTCAAGAGGGGTAACTTCGTCCTTTTACATGTAGCTGTACACGTGGTAAATACTTCGATAAAACACAAGGTAAAAAAAGATGATCGATAAAACAGAGAAGAAAAAAACCCTAGCATCTTCTCTTCAACCCCTTCCCTAATACTCAAGAATGGCTGGAGAATCTACACAAGAAATCGAGCAGGATATGCTATTTGATATACCTTCGAATTATCAATCTCCATTCCCTGGTAATACAATTTTTCATTTAAAGATTTACATATCTAAAGTATTATATTGTATACATAAAGATTTTACAATGGCCAAAACGACATATTTCTTACACCATCAACCAACCCAAAACAACTGAATACTCAAGTTGTTTTGTTTTTTTTTTTTAATAAATTTCAGCAAGTTATTTTTTTATAAAAGCTTGAATGTTGTATTCAACAAGTTTTTTTTATAATGTCTTGAATGTCGTATTCAACAAGTTGTTTTTATATATATTTCTTTACAGCAAGTTTTTATATATTTATATTTATTTTCATTAATTATTATTTTTTTCAGCACGTTTTTTGTTCAACAATATTATTATATTTCTCTACTTGTGACAAGCAAAAGGGGTTGATCCGAGCAATAGAGGATTTGTTATCACATTCTGAGCACAGATTTTGCGTAAGGCATATGTACAATAATTTCAAGCAAAAGCACAAGGGTTTGCAGCTGAAAGATTGTCTTTGGAAAGCTGCTTCAGCAACTAGAGTTGTGGATTTTAATAGGGAGATGAAAAAACTGAAAGCATGTGATCGAGCTGCTTATGATTGGGTAAGAGAAAGACCTCCAATGCGTTGGGCAAAGTCTCACTTTAGTACCTGGCCGAAGTGTGATTTATTGTTCAACAATCTCTGCGAAAGTTTCAACAAGGTTATCCTAAAAGCACGTGATAAACCTATAATAACCATGTTGGAAATTATCAGGGTGATTATGATGAGAAGAATTTATTCTCAAAGGGATAAAGTGAAAAAATCTAATGGAGACATTTGTCCGTCGGTGCAGAGGACCTTAGAAAACAACAAAAAAAAAGCATACGAGTATATTTTAGAGTGGAATGGTCATGATAAATTTGAAGTTAAGGGATGGATTGGTGATTAGTGGACTGTTGATTTGACATTAAAAACTTGCAGTTGTAGAAAATGGGACATCTCTGGAATCCCTTGTGTTCATGCTACAGCTTGTATCTTTTATAGAAGGGAAAATGTTGAGGATTATGTTGAGCATTGGTACAGCAAGGATACATTTTTGAAAGCATATTCGCACATGCTCAACCCTTTGAAAGGGAAAAAAGAATGGCCTGATTCTACACTGAGTACATTAGTGCCATGGTACGAAAAACCAAAAAAAGCAGGAAGGCCGTTGAAGCATGCTAGAAGGAAAGAATCTGATGAGTCAAGCCAAAAACAAGTGACTGGAAAAACAAATGGTCCCAAATATTCATGCTCAAAATGTGGAAAGTTAGGACATAACAAGAAAGGATGTAAAGAGGCATCTACAAATCAAAGTGCAGGCGTGTCTAGTCAAATAACAAAGAGGCAAAAATTGCCGGTAATAATTAAATTTTATCTATTATTTTTTTCTCGATCTCTCATTTTAATTCTTGTTTTGCTGATAAACATGTTTTTGTAGGTAAAGAGAAATGGTGAGAAATCTACCACAGGTTATTTTTATTGTATTTTAATAGTAACCACATGTTACCATGTACACTATCATATGTTATTATTTTGAGATGTTATTATTATTTGTAGGAATCGTCGTCTGGAACAACTACATCTTTGGTGGCAACAAGGATATACAGAATGGAGTCAAATAGGCATATAACGCAACATAGTGATAATTATTCTACAGTAACAAGGGTGTACGATTGATGATGAAGCTTTTGAGAAGTTTTTAATAAGTTGGCTTTAGAAAAGTCTGCTTTTAACATGAGTATATTGGAGTTTTTAAGAAGTTTGCTTTTGAGAAGCTTGTGAGAAGTCTGGTTTTGTTTTTTGCTCATTCCAGTGGTTTTGAAAAGTTTACTTTTGGGTCAGTTTCATTTTGAGAAGTATGTTATGCTTTAAATGTTCAAAGAATTAATGTATTGAATTTGGTTTCAAATGTTATTTGGCTGAATTTGGTGAATTTGATCAGTACTTTTTTAATATTTTTGCTATGTAAAGACATTATAAATAAATAGCAATATACTCTTGTTAATGTTTTTGGTACACAAAAACAGTAGAAATAAAAAGCAATATACTGTATTTTAATGTTTTTGGCAGACAATTGATCTTTGTTTTGTTATGTTTGTTCTTGTTTATGTGTTTTGCTCACACATATTGGTGTTTTTTTTTAAGATCAGTATGCCCAAACCAAACCAGCAAATCATTGCATAAACATTCACTTTGTTCTCATCATAATAAAAAACGTATAACAATAGGATGAAACTTAGAATCGACTAAATTTGCAACCCATTTTTAACTTTCGAAACAGGAGTTAATTCATTAAATTTGTAAAATTTGAACAGTAGCTTACAATTCATAAAAAATACAGTTGTATGAAACTCCAATATCTCCATGCATTAGAGCTTGATCCAATACCTGCAAGGCTTTAGCTACATTATGACCAGGATGATTAGGTTTGGCTGCTCTTGAAAGAGTCTCCACACGTTTTTGTATTTTGATGACACAACACTTCAGAGGGACAAGGACTCGGCTTGAAACTCCTGATTTCTATCTCTAGGCAAACTAGCAACTTCAACTTGACCATACGTCACTTTCCTAGATTAGTCAACCATTTTGGATAAAAAACTTCCATCACTTATCACATGACTTATCACACTCTTAGGCAAAGGAAAACAATCCAAAGAAATAAAAGTATCGGGTACAATTAGTATTTGATATCGAAGCATCTCAACAACAGCGGCAGTAGTGTATGCACGTCGAGAATTATCGACGAGGTCAGAACCACCAGGAGAAGGCTTTTGGATGAATCGAGCAGCGATCAAGGCCAGAGTACGCACATAAGTCTGAGATGAAACCAAAGTTTCTATGACACCATATATAATAGGCCAGAGTACGCACATAAGTCTTCTTCAAACTTTTGAATTTTTTTCACCAATCCAGGTATTATTCTTCTTGAACTCTCACATATTTGTGGATCAAACCACTTAAAATATCCACAACCTCCAGAAATCTGAAAATAATTTATAAAGTAATAAGAACTTAATTTTGTTAAAAATAAAAACATAATATCTTATAAATGAAGAACCGAATTTCGGAAAAAATAAAGAAATTTAGATAAATAATCGAATTACCACATACCCCCATATGACAAACATTTGTGAAATCGTCTTCCTGGGTTATCATTGTTCCAACATGTTACTAGAGGAAGAACATTTCGACAATCACAATACACAACGGGTATTTACTCCCCGTAGCGCCAATACGTGGAACTACTACTACTGGCCGATGAATTCGGTTTACCCATGAAGAAAGAATTGAAGAAGAGAGGCAGAAGAGGAGAAAAAAAATTCTAGGTTTTTTGGACTTCAAGAGAACGAGATAAATTGCAGAGAAACGACTAGTGAAAAAAAATGGGAAAAAGATTTTAATTAGCTAAGAAATAAGAGAAAGACAAATCTGCCCTTATTGGAACAGGTAGCCCGTTACATTTCTGGACTAAAAGTGGATGAGGGTGCAAAGTGCCAAGAAGTTTGTAATTGAAGGGTGTAAAGTGCCAAATTTGCAATTTAATGGTGCAAAGTGTCAAACCTATGTAATTTAAGGGTGCAAAGTGCCAATTACCCATTTTTATTTTCGCATTTTGTAGTTTCCAAATAATTGATGAATATAAAAATTTTGATTTGACATTTGGTATCCTTGAAAATACTATTAAAAATATTAAATTACCTTCATTAGCTTTAAAAAAAAAATTCAAGGTGCATTGTGAATGATTTATTGTGCTTCGAGGGTGCAAAGTGCTATCAATTTTTTCAAAGGTGCGAAATATTTTAAGAGTGCAAAGTGGGATTAAACCATTAAAATAAATATAAGAGTCTATAAACCCAAAAAAATGCATAAAATATATCACATATCAAAGTGTGATACTAAATTTAGTTAAACAACATCTAATGCTAAAGAAAAATAAAACAAAATGAGTATAACGCTCTAGAAATACTAATACTAGTAATGGTTATTGAAGTATAAAAAATCAAAGTGTTAGTCAGACAAAAATTCAAGTCAAAAGTTCATGCAAAATAATAAATTGCAACCATAACTCATTTTAACAGGGATAAATCCCATTTAAAGGTTCCTTTTACAACACTATGTATATATATAGGAAGACATCTATTACAAATCACATCAGCACCTTCAACTATCAAAGCCTTCTCTACTTTTTCTTTTTATTTCTATCTTTTTCCCTTTTTTCCTAATCTAATCAACATATTATAATTAATTTATTAATTAGCACTCCTAATCCTTGGATTAATAATCTTGTTATGGCAATGGCAGTTTCTATTATGAGCTTGTTGTTTGTGATTTTAACGGAGTTTTCGTGCTTAGTTCATGCACTTAAATTTTACGTCGGTGGGGATGACGGTTGGAACCTAAAGCCATCGAAGAACTATATTCACTGTGCTGACGATATCGCTTTCAGGTCAACGATGAAATCGGTATGTTTCTTATTCTTTTCTCCATTTTTCAATGTGCATGTTTGTCAATAGACAATATTAATTAATATATATTTTTTTATTTAATATTTGCAATATTGTTGTTAATAAAATGCAGTGTTCAAGTACAAGAAAGGGCATGATTCGGTACTTGTTGTAAATGAAAATGATTATTCAAAATGCAACAAAGAAAATCCAATAAAAATATTGAAAGAAGGTGACTCCAAATTCAAGTTTGAGAAATCAGGTCCATTTTTCTTCATTAGTGGCCATAACCAAAATTGTGAGAAGGGGGAGAAGTTGATCGTCGTTGTTCTTTCCGATCGCCACCGCAACACCACCCACAATGCTCCATCGCCGCTGCCGGAGACACCCCTCAAACCACCGTCCCACTCCCCTTCTCCATCACCTTCTCCATCTATGAATAAACCTCCAGCCCTAGCTCCAGTTGCTCATCACTCGCCAACTCCTTCTCACGCGCCACCCACTCACTCTCCATCCCCATCTCCGGCCGCCCACACAGCCATTACTCACCACTCGCCAACCCCTTCACCGGCAGCTAAATCTCCCACCCACGCGCCGCCAGTCAAGCCACCATCTCATTCACCATCTCCATCTCCGGCGGCCCCAGCACACATTACTCACCACTCACCAAGCCCTTCCCCAGCATCTAAATCGCCGACGCATGCGCCGCCGGTCAAGCCACCTTCTCATTCGCCATCCCCAGCTCTTATTACTCACCACTCACCGAACCCTTCCCCAGCAGCCAAAACTCCTTTACACGCGCCGCCGGCCCAACCACATTCTAAATCTCCAGCCCCTTCTCCGGCGGCCAAATCTACTACACACGTTCCACCATCTTATTAAGTTTCTAGCTTATTAATTTATTATTCGGTTCAATTTTTTCTTTCTTTTTGTTTTTTGTGTTAGATTTATTTTCAACTTTGATTTGAAATTTTTGTATTTCTTTTGTAATTCTTGCTTCAGTTTAAGTGATTAAAAATTTAAAATTCCCTCTACTCTATTGCAATTTTATTTTATTTTTTTAGAAGATATCACATTAATTATTTCTATTAAAAAAACATACAAGAGCATTCTTTATTTGTTTTCATATTAAGTTTCACCTTTGATTACGTGCTAATTTTACAATTTGTTTTTATTAACACCGGAGATAAATAACAAAGTGCCGATTCGTTATGATATTTCGATTACATGATCATTGCATATTTAATAAAATTTACAATATTGAGTGTTACATGGGAGATTAATCCATATATTTCACAAAGCTATAACATAAACTATTATACAAATTATTGTACAGATTAAAGTTCTAACAACTTATATTGGACAACATCTATAAAGATGGACACGATTTTTTTAATTCAGATACCATATGATATAAGTGTCCTAATAATTTGATCGGTTGATTGACATTTCATTAAGAAAAATCGACATGAGCTGTATGTCTTAAAATCTACTAATATTAACTTTGTTCATTCTATAATAAGTGTCATTTTGGGTTGGTGCCAATGTTAGAAAAACCGGACCGGACTCGCCGGTCGGATCGGTCCGACCGTGACCCGCCACGAAAACGGTCCGATCTGACACCGAAAACCGGGATATTCAAAAAGCCGGGTCAAATGTCAAAAATCCAGTTCGACCGGCAAAACCCAGAAACCGGTCAGTGACCCGGGTTCTTATCTAAAACACTTCGTTGGTGATTGTTAGTGGCCGCATCTGCACGAAATTCGCCGGAGGTGGCCGGATCTGGATGGAGTTGGCCGTGGGTGGCCGGAAATCTGATGGTGGGTGGCGGAATTCGACGAGTTTGGGTCGTGGGTGGAACAGATTGTGTTGTTGGATATGGAGTGATAAGAGTGATAAAAGAGAAGAAGAAGAAAATGGAGAAAAAAAAGAAAAAAGACTGAGAAAAAAAAACTGGAAAAAGAGGGGGAGAGAGACGGGAGGTAGGTGATAAGAGGAGAGAAGGTGGAGAGACGAGAGAAGATAGAAAAGTAAAAAAAGAATATAATAAAAAATTGGGTGTGAGAAATAATAAAGGGAATAGTTTATATATTTAAAAAGTTAATAATAAATAGAAGAGACAAGAGAGTGTGTAAAATAAAAAAAACATATATAGAAAATATATATTTAAAATATTAAAATTGATAAAATAATTAAAAATAAAAAACCCGGGTCAAACTCGGTTGAACCGGTCCAACCGTAACCCGAATGCCTATCCGGTTTTGTGACCGGTCCGGTTCTGACAACATTGGTTGGTGCGTAGAGATTAAAAAGTCTAATAAATTTGGCTAACTCTTAAGTAAATTTTTTTTTTCGCATTTTCAGGGTAAAGATGTTTTATTATTACTCATAATATAACAGATGAATTGGTAAAAAAGAAAAAAAAAATAGAAAAAAGAAAAAAGAACTTCGGTGTGATTTTGACTTGTTAAGAAACTCATCGTGCTATTAATTAACATCGCTCCTTCGATCTTATGCCTGGTGATAAATATTGGGTGGATCTTATGCTGACACATTTATTTTTGTTGTATTTTTCTAAAACCCCTACAGGTTATTAATCCAAGTTTGGGAATATTTAATAAATAATTAAATATAACGCGTGTCAGCAGAAGACCCGCCCAGTGTTTATCACCTGGTGTAGGGTCGAAAGAACCAATTAACATCAACAAAAAATCCTAATAAAATGCATTTTCTAGCATACAAGTTTTTAAACTGTGAGTATTTAGGGGGTAGATTGAGCTTACACCAGGTGAAATATTTCATGCGATTTTAAACCGTAGATCTATATAAATAACTACCCACTAAGCAGACATAAATGTGTGTGTGTGTGTTATCAGTGGCAAAACCAGGAAATTTGATTAGGTGGGCCAAAGGTTTATGAAATGATACACCGGAGGGGAATTCATTTTTTTTGGGGGTTGGGGGCGTCACCCTTAATTCTTTTTAGAGTAGTTCATGAAAAATAAACAAAAAAAAGTAATATTTTATTTATTTATGTAAAATAGTATGATTTTAACAATAATATTTCACATTGTAATAGTAAATATGAAAAAGTATATAAATTTACATGAAATAATAGTGAAAAATTAAAAAAATGATGGGTCAAAACTTATATTTACAAAATTGGAGGCCAAAACGTATATCTTAAAAATATTATTCAAAATTACTACTTTTTTTCTTTCTTAAATCTTGGGGGCCACATGCCCCGATCCCTCTTCTGTTTCGCTACTGCTGATTATTATGTGTAAATCAATGGTTTAAAACCATATAATATATTTCAAGAGTAGAATCTACAAAATTGATAGATTGCTAGAATAATTGAATGATTGCGGGACCTAAACAAATAAAAACACGGAGAGAATTTCTCAACAATTAAAAAAAACCGAAAAAAATTGCAGAAAATATATCACATATCAACAACAGTTGGAGTAGACTAAAATTTAGTTTTAAGAAAGTATATAACGTTAACATTATATTTTCCAAGACAGGCTCTTCTTATCTCTCTAGAAAAGTGTTTGCATCAAACATAAAAAGAGATTTAAATGGCACATCAAAATTTAAAAAAGATCTTATATATCAAAAAAAAAAAAAAAAAAAAAAGAAAAAGAAAAGAGAGAGAGATAGAGGTAGAAATCAAAACGAGTATAACGCTCAGAAATACTGGTAATAGTTCTTGATGTATAAAAATTCTAAGTGTTAGTCAAACTAAAATTCAAGTCAAAAAGTCATGCAATTTAATAAATTGCAACCATAACTCATTTTAATTTAATAGGAATAAATCCCATTTAAACGTCCTTGTTACAACACTATCACTATGTATATATATAGGGAGACATCCATTATAAATCACACCATCCACCTTCAACTATCAAAGCCTTCTCTTCTTATTTTTTTCCCTTTCTTCTTAATTTAATCAACATATTATAATTAATTTCTTAATTAGGGCTCAAAATCCTTGGATTAATAATCTTGTTAATGCAATGGCGGTTTCTATTATGAGCTTGTTGTTTGTGATTTTAATGGAGTTTTCGTGCTTAGTTCATGCACTTAAATTTTATGTCGGTGGTGATGACGGTTGGACCCTAAAGCCATCGGAGAACTATATTCAATGGGCTGAACGGTATCGCTTTCGGGTCAACGATGAAATCGGTATGCTTCTTATTCTTTTCTCCATTTTTCAATGTGCATGTTTGTCAATAGACAATATTAATTCATAGATATTTTTTTATTTAATATTTGCAATATTGTTGTTAATAAATTGCAGTATTCAAGTACAAGAGAGGGCATGATTCGGTACTTGTTGTAAGTGAAAATGACTATTCGAAATGCAACAAAGAAAATCCAATAAAAATATTGAAAAATGGTGACTCCAAATTCAAATTTGAGAAATCAGGTCCATTTTTCTTCATTAGTG